AGATGGCAAACTGTACTACGATAAAAGATGGTACCACAAGAGCCAAGCCATCTACCTGGAGCCCAAGCACAACCAGAAACTCAGCTGTGTGATCAGCTCCGTGGGAGCCATTGAAATCCGGGTGAGGAAGACCAGTGACAGCACCAAGATTCGGGTCTACTTGGGCCAGCTCCACCGTGGACTCTGTGATCCGCCGTCGCTCTGCCTCTTGACTTCCCGTGTCCCTCCCTTGGCCTCTTTTCCGGAGGAGTTTTCATTCCGGTTTTGTTTTCTTCTTAATAAGAAGCCTTTTAACTTCCTGGAAATAGCTACTCTGCCTTGGAAAATGGAGGATTCTGCAAGGCTCATCTGTGGCCACCCACTTTCACGGCTTTCATCTTTGCCTTGGCTTCCAGACTTCCAGACATCAGTCACGTGGAACTGTAATGCATTCGGGAGTATGGGTGCTTGATTTTTTTTTTTTTTCTTCCTTCTTTTTTGTGTTTATTTTGGCTCTTTTACTTTTTTAAAAAGCTCCTTTGAGTTTGAAGGGCGAGCTCTTTTATGACTTCTCTTTGGGTCTTTCTCCTGAGCAGAAGAGCAGGAAGGAGACACATTCTGCAGTGCACGCTCACCTTGGGAAGTGGATGCATGGATCACGTGGCTGCTTTCCTTGTGGAGCCCAATTCACTGTTTCCCCAGAAGCTCGGGGCAGAGGTCCCAGCAGAGGGAGATGAATTCTCGAGCTCTGCCTTCCCCAAGAAATAAATACCTTGTGTAACATCTGGCTACCCACATCCATTCCTCTGACAGAATAACAGGAACATTTGCCTGGAGAAGGTGTACTGAAGTGTAAATGGGTTTGACGTGGGGTGAGATTAGCTCATAATGTGCTCAAGTCACAATGTTTTATCTGTTTTTTAATGCAGGTGGTTCACTCCCATGTTCACTCCCTGTCTCAAGCTGGAACCAGGAGTGGTCCTTTTAGAAGTTTACATCTGTATTGCATTTCTCCCAGCTACGATCTGGGTTACCTGCTGTTGACAGGGAGGTGACACTGAGAGGCAATTATCAAGGACCTGTAAGTCCCTCCTCAGGATCCCAGTTTCCCTGTGGTCCGGCACTCGGGGGCCCAGGAGAGCAGACCCAGGTCGGAGAGACGGAGAGACGTAGCTTCCACTCAGCATACTCTCTGTTATCGATCCAGATGCCAGGGCCCGCCTTCCACACACAGGTGGAGAAGTGCGTCATGGAGCTGCCATCTCCAGAGCTTTGAGGAGTTTGGGGTTAGAGCAGTTTGCCATCGCCTCTGTGGGCATTCCATAGGTCTGACACAGCCTTTGTGAGTCCTTTCTAAGCAAGTGGAGGGACTGCGGTCCTAAGTAAATCCCCTTCTCTTAAATCCTGGCATCAACAGAGACTCAGAGTTAAGATTTGTGCAGCTGTATTTTTGTTTTAATTTATAATTTGTTTTCTCCCCAAGATGGCATCTCGTTTAGAAAATGGTATAAATGGTGCTGTTTATCAAAAGTGCCGTTGAGTTCTATTTCTCGTCTGCTCTCCAGCCCCTTGATGATGGTGTTTACCATCCTTGGTGTTGCTGTCAGCTTCTTCTTGACGCCTTAGCAGAGGACTTCTCTTTTGGATTGTCATGCTGGTGTGTGACATCCTGTAGTATCAGGTGACTGTTGGTTGTCAGCTAGTTCCCTGCGACGGAAATTTATTTCAATATATTACAATGTATTTTGCCATCGAGAGTATTTTTTTCCATGACCATCTTCCTTCTAAATAGTAAGTACATCAAAGCGTATGCTTATTGGCAAGGGTTGTACTGATACCCACGGGGAGTCAGCATCGAAGCAGCAGCAAGTTGCCTGTGTTCCTTGCCTTGTCTGCTGGCCCCTCTGCTTTTGTACAGGCTAGTGCCTGAAGTTACGAATCGGGCTGCGAACCTTAAGGTCAGTGGTTCGAAACTACCAGCCGCTCCGCGGGAGAAAGATGAGGCTTTCTACTCCCGTAAGGATTTACACCCTCGGTAACAGGGTCGCTATGGGTCGGAACCGACTCGAAGGCACTTAACAACAACAACAACAACAGTGCCTGAAAGACCAGGATGGGCATGTTGGCTGGTTTGCTTGTGTAACTTCGAAGGGTGTTTGAGGCCACGCTTAGACGTGGTTTCCACCCATCGCTGTCTTCTGCCCCTCAAGTGTCCTCACAGCTATGAAAAATCTCCCTTTAACCATGGTCTAGGGGAAATACATGAAACATGAACTAGACTGGAGACAGAATGGTCAGTTCTCCTCCAATTCCCTGAAGATTTCGGATTTTTATATAGCTGCTACAATGATGGGAACTGTGCAGCCCCATCACTCTGACAGGCCTCTGGTGACCAAGGACAGAACCCTGACCTGAGATGCTGTGGACAAGGAGCCTGGCTTCTCGGCCCAGTTCCTGTTCCCGAAGGCCCTTGACTCTCACTTAATGCCAGGCGGTCAGGTGACTGCCCAGATTCAAATTTCTTCCTGCCAGTTACACTCAGAAGACAGTTGTTCCAGAACATTCTGATCAAGAACCTGAACTTGGGTTTTTTTTTTTTTTTTTTTTCATGTTTTATTGTGAATTATATATTTTACATGAGAGAACTTTAGTTTTACATTCATTCCACTGTATATCGTTTCATTGCCATGGTTCCAATCCCCTCCATGCATCAACTGACCAAAATGTATACCCTATAAACCCGCCCCTGCACTCCCCCACCCACCCATTCTTCAGCACACAGTCCCTCTCCCTCTCTGGATCCAAAGTCCCCAGCCGCTTCATCACTCCACGTCATCGTCTCAGCCTTGCTGCTTCTCTGGGTAGGGTCCCGCTCTAGGCTCTTCTCTGTTTTTTTTTAATAATTATTAAGTGTTTTTATTTTGGATTGAGTGGAAATTCACAGGGCACATCATCAGCTTCACATTCAACCATTCATATAGCTTGTTTCATTACATTGATTATTATCCCCTCCATATATCATCAGTTAACAGTGTTTCTATCCTCTTTAGCTTTTTTTTGGGGGGGTGGGTGGGGGAGGAACTTGCCTTTTTGGAATTTACAGTCTCGGCTTTTAGGGAAGGTTTTTACATTTGTCTGTGGATATCCAGGTAGGCTCTTCTCTGTTGATGGTCCCAGAGACCTAGGCTCCTAGACTGGAGAGTTAATCACTCCCTTCCTTGCTACAAAACGTCTACCTTTACATTTCCAATCCTCACAATCAGTCCTGATAACAATCATTCACTATTGTATCACAAGTGACCCTTCTGCATTTCATTTCATCAGCTCTGCCTAGACAGATTTGATAGTACTCATTGGAGATTCTGCCTTCCTCCATGCCCCCTAGCTCTAGGTTCCCTCTTGAAAGCTTGTAAGCCAGCCACTTCTTGCCTTTGTGGTCATCCCCCCCACCGCCCCCATTTGGGTATCCAATGTCCAACTTGCCCATCTCTGTCTACTCTGTGTGTGGAGGGGGTGGGAATGTTTCTTGCTGTAAAGATTTGTTCACTCTTTTGGGTTACTGCATCCATAGGTGTAGGTCAAGTTCATCAAATTGTATCAGATCACTCATTTTTTTCCCCTCTTCTTTCTTCTCCTGGTTGAGTTCTGATCATCCATTCATCGGGGCCAGGTCACGTGGGTACCATCTGTAAGTGTGGGTGTTCTTGTGCGTATGCCCTCTCTTCCTATCAGCTGGTAGCTTCACTCTCCACTCTAGTCCTCTGTGGCCACGCCGCTGACTATGGGCCCAGGAGTCCCCAGGTCTCCCCACACTGCTGGCCAACCAGGTCCTGAACTTGGGTGTTTTTTAAGGGACGCTTGTTTTTCAAGTATTATATTTGCCTCAGGTGTTTGTTGTGGACATGCCCTGATATTTCGCCTGCGATGGGAGGTCTTGTTGTGTCTCCCGTACACCCTCCCACCAAACCAGATTCTTGCAGCCATACCAAAGCCAGGATTTCTTCATTCATTTGGATACCAGTATTTATGGATGTCTTAGCTACCTAATTTTCCTTTTTAAAGCTTTAACTGGGGCCAGTGTGAGAGATCCCACAGGCTGATCTGCAAATCAATCCAGATGGGTTCAGAACTGGGTGGTTTTCTAACAGTGGGTGGTGGGTGCTTCCTTTTTTTTGAAAAAACAATATATATATTTTTTCCTATTAATGTTTTCTTTTTGCCTTGAATTTTTATTGTTATTTCCTCTTAATTTTATACACTTATTCCAATATGGGAATTTGAAATCTCCATACTTAATGTTACACCGACTCCCAAAGAGTTCAAGCTACTTTAATACCAGAACATGTTTTTTTAAAAAATGTATAGCCATTCAAGTAGCTGGTTGCCTTTTTATAGAACCTTTGTGACTGGTCCCATTAAATGTTCTGGGAGGTGAATGTAAAGTGTAAAAAGTATAGGTTTTTTTGTTTTTAAAATAACAATAAACTTTCCAAGAAGGAAAAAAAAAAAGAATTACCAAGGCACTTGAAGAATCCAGATTTTATTAAAAAAATAAGTAATAACATCAAAACTGTTCAGCAAATCTATATTCAATGTAACCAAAATAAACAAACACCAAATTAAAAAAAATATACATCTATATATATATGGGCAAGAAACAAGTGCATTTTTGGTCCAAATATTTTTTTTGAATATATTATCTTTATCCAAAGAAATTACATTAATGGCTAAGAAGATACCATGTATTAGATGTACAGAAATGTAACTTTAAAACTTATTTTAAGGTCTTTAAGAAGAGTTCTTGCCAATTCTTTGTATCTTTGAACACACAAAGTAAGATAATGTTAAGTAATGACAGTTCCAAGACAGAGGATATAGTGATGTCTGCTGGTCTGAAGGACTGTCGAATTAAGAAGTTACAAATAGGTGGCGGTGTTGATGTTGTGTGCTGTCAGGTGATTTCTGATTCATAGTGACGTATAAGTGGGCTACACAAAATCTGTGGAGGGGTCTAAGGGAATTCAGGGTTCTTAAAAAAACAAACATGGAACAAAAATTGAATAAGAGTATAAAAGTAGACTTAACAAAATGGACTTCAAAAATGTTATAGAAAACAAAACTAAGTTACCAAAATTAAATTAAATTTAACAAAATCTGAATATTAGTATTGCTGATTAAATTCTAGGGCTAATATTGGATAAAAATTCAAATGAAAGAATACCTTCAAATTCTGAACTGTAAATTTCAAATCTTGTTTCAAGAACATGAAAGTGACCTCAGTCTACATAACCAAAACTTTAGTATTCCTTGGACTGCATGCTCGCTAAGAGGAGATTAAAGGGCAGCAGTCTAAAGGATTAAACTTCAACTCGGAGGTTGAAGCGCAGGTTTAGCGGGCTTTTCTGGGTCGGAAACGACCCATAAGCGTAAGATCAAGAACCATATACCACAGCGGGAAGATGTGCTCATTGTTAGGCCTTGACGTCATCTCTGGCCAAAAAAGCACCAGCCTTATGGGAGGCCAGTCGTGTAGAAAGGGATTCTCTCCCCAAGATGTAATTTCTTGAGGCCACAGACTAGAGGAGGTCTCACAGTTAAATTATTCACATTTCTTGGAAAGAGAATAGGCATCAGTTGTGTCCATCGAAGGGGGACACTATCCAGGAGTAACCTGGATATTTTTTGAAATCTGTGTTGTTTCAGCATCTGAAAAATACGAAAAATAGAACAACGACAGACAAGGAATGGGGAAAACACAGCTATCTGATCTAAACATTTAAGACTTGGAAAAAAAAGGAACAAAGAAAGTAGATAATACAGATTAATAAAAAAAAGATGATGAGCATATTGTTTGGAATGTAATCTTGTGAAGGCAAGCACAGCAGAGAAAAACCCAGATGACTGTAAGCAATGTAAGAAAAGATCATAGCTACCTGACACAAAGATAAAGTGAATGAAATAAGAATCTAGCTAGTGTCATCGTAAAGCTGAAGAAATGAGAACTAGTGTCATGAACTTAGCCATTTAACTGCTTTCGTATATAACAAAACACTTCAGAACTTTGAAATTAGGAAATTCCAACTTGTCTGGCACCAGATGGCACGAGCTCCATAGAACAGGAATCTATTTCAACAAGCAGCTTTAAAAAAACAAAAAACAAAAAATACTTTTACTATTTTTCATTTCTGTTAATGACACATGAAACAAATGTAATAGCACTAAAATTCATCAAAGCAAAATGTACTCAATAAAAATGTAACTTACTCAGGAGTGGATTAAAACTTTGAGGTATTTTCAGAAACTGAAATCATAAGAAAAAATGTGTGAATTTCAAACAGCACACATGATGAGTGAGACTATCAATTTAATACAGAAAGAATTCATATTGTGGTTGATCAAAAATAAATACAAATAACTCAAAGTAATGCATACATACCGCTCTCTTTTATAACTTGGCAAGTGTGAGTTTTACGTTGACTTAAGTGTTTAGCCATAAGATCTAAGGCAGAAGAATCAACTAGGAAGTCACAGTTAAGGCACACTAGAGTAATGCCCCTATGAAAAAAAGCAGTTAAAAAGAGTTTATATGCTGTTATAAAAATCCACAGATAAGTTCAATAATAATTTTTTTATGTAATTATTGATTTCCCTTTTTTATGTCACGACTGTCGTTTTTCGGATTTGTTAACAGAATGTGAACAAAGCAAGGTACAAGTCTGTGCTCTAACGGAACCTACAGACAATCTAGTGTCTTATTTGAGGATGAAATGAGAAAAGAAACACGAAGTTAGTAACAGATCATTAATGTGATTGTTGTTATTATCAGCTTACTGACATAGCACTAACAAGCCTTTGATGGTCCTCACATGCTTGAAGTAAAAACAAGTAGCCTTCCCCCGAGGCGCTAAAGTCTGTTGTGTCATCAACAATGACCTTCATAAAACTAAACTCAGGTACAACCTTCCCTCCCCACACCCCGAAATCAACTTCCTGACTGCTTTCTCTTATGATGCCATTTACCTTGACATTGAGGCTTAAAATGGCAGTATCTGACTCTCTTCTTCCTTAAGACAGTCAACACTTCAAACATTTTATATTATTAGTAATGTATAGAGCACTTACTCTTTGCCAGGCTGAGGTTTTAGACATATCTCATCTAAATCTTACAAGCTAAAGTGGTAGGAACTGTAATGATCACCTTTTTACAGAGGGCACAGTCAGGTTTAATAATCTGCCAAGGCAAGGACCACGTAAGTGTCAAGACCGGGTTTGAAATGGAGTTTTTTCAAAACTCCAGAGTCCATTTTCTTAAGCAAGATGTAGTACCACCTCACCACTTTAACTCGGGTCCTTATTAAACCAGCCATAACTATCACAGTAGTCCTAAGTAGTCTTTGTGACTCATGCAGGTAACAACTCACCTTGCATGCTCTCTATACCTTTCAAATCAGTCGTCCTTTAGTATTTTTTATTCTATGTTGTTCATCAATGGTTCCCCGGTACCCTCCAAGTTAAGTCCAGACTCCCTAGCCTGGTTTCAAGGCTTTCACAATCTGGGTCTAAGATCAAAAGTATTTCCTCAGACTTTGGTCTTGTTACTATGCTACACGGATTTTGTGCTCCACTGAAATTTTACTACTAGTAATTCCCTGTGTGGAGTCCTGGTGTGGCGCTGTGGTCACATCAGACTGCAAAGTTGTTTGAACTGCAAGGTCGGTGGTTCAAGTTCACCAGCTGCTCCTTGGAAACCCCTATACAGGTTCACTTTGGGTCGGAATCGGCTCAACAGCACTTAACAACAATTCCCTGTATTTGCCTTCAACTTCTCATTTCTGCACCTTTATTGTTTATACAGTTTCTTCCAGCTAGAATACCCTTGTGCCTCTTAGCAAAGAAACTTCTCTTCCTTTAGATATCAACAACTCTGGCTGCACTTATTACAAACTTCTTTGTATTATTACAGGTACTTATGTCCATATCTTATTTCTTTCCAAAATAAATTATATGTATCCTGAAGGTTGGTACCAAGCCTCCTTCATCATTGTAGCAAGCCCTGCTACACTGTTGTACATGACAGGTACACAGTAAGTAGCTAAAGAATGAACATTTCATTCCAATAAAATTATAATTACAAAAAAATGTATTATTCTATAGGAATTATATATATACTCAGTTCCATACACAGAAATTGACCAATCTTCATTGTAGAGTTGAGACCTACTCAACTTGAGCAAAAAACTTCTCAGGTCTTTAAAATCATACAAACTCACTGCTATCAAGTCGCTTGTCACTCACAGCAACCCTATATAAGGTTTCCAATTACTGTCACTCTTTACAGGAGCAAAAAGCCCCATCTTTCTCCTGTGGAGCAGCAGCTGGGTTTGAACTGCTGGCCTGGCGGTTAGCAGCCCAACACTTTACTCCACAACAGGGCTCCTTAATATTATAAAACCCACTGTTAATCAAGTTGATTCCAACTCTAGCGTATAGGGTTTCCAAGGCTATAAATCTTTATAGGAGCAGAAAACCTCATCCGTTTCCCACAGAGAGGCTGGTGGGCTTAAACTGCCAAGCTGCTGTTTAGCAGTCCAGTGCTCATCCCATTGTCCCATCAGGGCACCTTAAAATCATATAGTTAATTTAAAAAATCAAGTACAAACTGAGCTTGGTAATAGTGAGTAAAACAAAATAAAACCTCATCTTCAGAATGTAATAAACCCCTTTTTGATCAAGGCAACATCTAACTTTTCTCTTTTCAAATGCTTTGAATTCAGTAATGATTTATAAACAGCACTGTTGTGATCCTGACTAGGGATTCTGAGGAGTGGCAGGTGGGTTTGACCTGCCAACCTTGTAGTCAGCAGTCCAGTGCTTATCCTACAGTGCCTCATCAAAATTGCAATCCAATTTTCTCTGGCTGTGAGCTATTGGTCCAACACGGCAGATGGGGCCCATAAATTCCCACATTTACGGAGGGTAGTATTCAATGCCTGGAAAATATCTGGCATAAACAAATATGGATACAACACCCATTATACTGAAAAGACACAAACAGTAAACAGAAAAGTGAAATAATAGACTGTGTCAGGTAGGACCAAGTTAATATGAGGTTAAGTGTGTGGTAAAGACAAAATTAATGATTAATTATTCCTCAGCCACTCTTTCTGCAACAGTAAGCAAGTTGTGTAGTTTTCTTTATTTCAAAAAGACAAACAACTAAGAATTTTGAAGGCTATATATTGATTTCAGAGACTTACTCTGGGTTTCTAAATTTCAAAATGGAAGAAGCATCAGTCACTTTACTGTTGCTAGCTGTTGTTGAGTTCTCAAGCCCCTGGCTGTGGACCCTGTGTATTTTGAGTGTTTTTCAACCTAGGGAGCGCCTCAGACAACATTCTGTGATCTGTAAGGTTTTCATTGGTTTTCTTTTCAGAAGTAGATTGATTATCCGTTCTTTCTAGTCTCAATCTGGAAACTCCACTGAAGCCTGTCTACCGTGGATGACCCGGCTGGTATCTCATATACTGACTGGAGGGAGAGTGCCACAATACGACACTTTCACAACAAACTCACAGACTGGGGAGGGGGTGGAAGTTGGAGTTACTATACTAGATATCTTAAACATTTTTCTAACATTCAAATATTGTTGGAGAAGCGTATTTTTGTAAACATTTCACCTTACTGCCTGACACTGGTGACATAAGCTATGGAAATAATGAACAGAAAGAACTCTGTTGTTACATTCAGTAGCAATTGGTTACATGCTCAAAGGAAGCACCCCAAACAGTAGGTTCAAAAAAGCTACCATAAGTTTGCAACAGAAAGAATCAAAAGAGATCGTCTGGTTACCTGGAAGTTCCGGAATTTTTCTTAAAAAGACAAAACCGTTTACTTGGATGGTTACTATGAGACCTGGAGAGACAAAAGATTTGATCACTTTTATTTTATAGTCAGTTTCCATAATATTTTCTAATAGCATCTTTTTTTATAATAGAAATTGTTACTAGTATTAATAATGATCACGTTCTTACCTTAATATGATTGTGTGTGTTTGTGTTTGTGTGTGTGTGTGTAGAATCTGGAAGGTCTTGGAAGTAAACACTACCTGAACTAAATGCCATTGTTTACCATCTGTAAAATCAAACACTTAAAAAAGAAGAGTTCTTTGCAATTACTAGGATAGCTTTTAAAGAAAGCAAATCATAGGAAGCAGAGCTGTGAGTTAAAATAATGCTTCCTTTAAGCACAAAACAGAAAACCATTAACCAAACTTTATAGTCAATGTTAATAGCTTTTATGGCCGCTTTGAAACAGGTAAGAGTTCCGGTATTAGAAAGCAAGGCAGGGATTAGCTAGGATTCGCCAAGCACAGATTACTAGAAGGATGGTAAATGGACTGGTAACATCAGGATCACCTGGGAGCTTATAAGAAATGCAAAGTCTCAGGCCCCCTGCAAACCTACTACAGCTATCTCTGGCGGTGGGGGTCAGGAATCTTTTAAAGGGGAAAACCTACACACCAAAACATTTGTGAATCCAAAAACATCAATGACATTAATTACACTTTTAATATTGTGTACCACTATTGCTATACTTTTGCAAAATATTCCAGGAATCTTTTTTAAATGAGCTTTCCAGGTGATTCTTCTGCAAGGTAAAGTCGGAGAAGCACTAGCCAAAACTCACAATTACCTCACCTCCATTTAGTGGTTAAAACATGACTGACAGTAGTTAAAGGAGCAAAGGGTAAAGAAATGAGGGGAAAAAAGACCACTTTCAAACGTTGATGGTAAAATAAGGAAGGTTAAACCACATCTCCGTCATCCTGAAATATAGTCCTAAAAATATCTCTAGGCGGAACGAATGTGGTAGAGACAGAGATGAAATGAAAGTGAACGAATCGTAGAAGGTGGGGGACAGGATGAAGTGTGAAAGCGGGACGTGTGCTTTCTTAGATTAACAAGCTGACAGAGGCAACTGCTGTTCTGTGTGTGCAGTGAAGTCACAGCAACCCTCTGTAGGATTTCCGAGAGCAGCTGATGGCTCTGAACTGACGACCTTGCGGTTACTAGTCCAGTGCTTATCCTACTGCAAATAACCTGACCAGGGGCCAATACAGGTAACAGGGGGAAAAAAAAAAAGGTAATTTTGGGAACAATGAAAAGGATAAACTGAGTAATTAGTCAATAGTGTTAACCACTGAGACAAGAATAAACTCTTCATGATACTGAATAAGGTTTATACAGACACTGCAGATAAAAACAGAGCTATTAAAGACAGATAGGACCCATTTAAGCAGAGTTTGGAGGTTTAGAAGTGAGCACAGTGAAAGATGTAAAAGGTGAGCTAGCCTGCAGGAAAGGCTCAGGACGTGGACACCATGAGAGAACAAAGCAGCATTCAGAACACAGAGTCTAGAGGCAGAGGTGCTGCTGGACTCGAAAGAGAGATCAAGGTCCTGAAAGTCATAGGGAATGACTGAAGTTAAAATGGGGCCGTAGAAAGAAAGAGGATACAAGTTACAAGTGGATGTGACATGCTGGCACTAAAGGTGGCAGGTACCATGAAGTCTGGCTGAGCATCAAAGTGGAAGAAACCTTTGTGAGACAGGTGCGCTTCCACATCAAAAGGGTGGGGAACACTCTGAAAGCAATGGCCGAGCATGACCAGAAAGCAACAGAGAAAATAATTTCTTTTGATTATATCTTATTTCTAAAATAATCTTTATTTGACCAATCAATTTATCAGATTTATATATAAGCAATTTCTGGCTATTTTCAAAAGTAAAAAACACATCGTGAAGGAATAAAGTAAGCACCTACAAATGAGATCTAAATTAAATAATGTGAGCTCTGAAGGCTTTTCCTACCATAGAGTACATGGTAGGGGATCAAATAACATAAATTAAATCAATTTTTGAAAAGGAAGTCCAACAGTAACATCATGACCATAGTCTATTGTTTCACTGAATGAATGCAAAGATGGATGGCTTGAAAGGACAGATGAATGAGTAAGAGAGAGAGACACCGGATCCAAAAATGCTCTTAACATCAGAAAAAAACCTGGAGCTTCTCAAAGTAACTGGTTGTATGTATTTGCTTGATAAAAAAATTTGAAAACATTTAGTGTTATATTTGAAAATAATGACTTTTGGAAAGACCTGTAAAAGATTTTATTCCCACAGAAAAATACCCCCCCCCAACAAAGCTACTGTTAATTAAATTAACACTGTCTAACTGCTCCTATAATGTTTGTCCCAGGAATTTTATGACTTACTCTGGTGGAAAACAGTACTGGGTGAAGTGCTAGACCTATTATTAGACGATTTTGGCAGTGAACATACTGGCTTCTAACAGGATAACCCTGCTTTCTAAAAACAAACTTCTTCAGTGGATATTTTCATAGACCATGAATATGTTTAACTTACCCCACCATGTGATTTATAAAAGCTTCGTTACAGTTAGTGTTGTATTTGCAAACATTACAACGGGCATTTGTAGAAAAGTGGCTTGCAAAATCTTTTATTTTGGAACGACACTCAATGCAGCCATAAGCACCTCGGCGGCACCTACTGACAGAGAAAGTGATGATATATTATAAAAGGAAAAAAACAAAATAAAGGAAAGCCTTATTAACATTAATTTTATTAAATGAAGTCAAGATATTTAAATCACTGTCTTTAAAATGATTATTTACAATTTAAACTTTGCTTCGGAACAAAGAGCTAAAATAGGAATAAAAAGGAGCAATGTAATTATTTTGAATATCACAAGCTATACATATAATGCAAGACATAAGGTTAGTGTTACAGATGAAAATTATAGATGAGCTTTTATTCATTTGCTTGGCCTTTATGCCAGTATGTGGTATCACGTGAATGTGCAAGGGGGCTTTGTGCATGGCAAATTCCTATAAGTTTTTAACATTTTAAGATTAAAATAGCACTGTTTATTAGGAACAAAATATCTTACCTTAGGTTCTTCAGAGCTGTGCTGATTTTACTTTTTCTGCTGCGTGGTTTCTTTTGCTTGCCAACAGTCTGTGTTTTGCATTTAGAAGTAACCCCACATGGTTTACTTGCTTTAGGTCTACCTCTGGGTCTACCTCGGGGTCTACCTCTGGGTCTACCTTTGGGTTTACCTGCAGTGGGTGCAGGTGCCTGAGGCTTACTTACAGTCGATTTGGGGGTATTTTTAGTGGCTTTAGTTTTAGAATTCGGAGGTGAGACCTGCAGAGAAGTGCTCGGAGTAGTACTACTGTAAAGAGGAGTTGATTGACTTTGTTGTGACTGACCATGTCCAAGTGAAGCTCGAATAGTAACCTACAAAAAGAAAGGAACATATGGTTTTAGAAATGCAATCATCACGTTAGTATTCAAATATCACTTTACTGCTGATAACTGATTGGAGACTGTAGGGACAAACTGCACTTTGAGAAGGGTGCCAAAACAATTAAATGGGAAAGGACCTTCTTTTCCACAAATGGTGTTGGGACAGCTGAAGTTGGCCCATATACTATAAATACAGGTTTACTCAAAACAGATCAAAGACCAAATTGTAAGAGCCAAACTTATAAAAAACTTTTAGATGAAACTGTGATGTTGGGTTAGGCAATGGTTTCTTAAATATGACACCAAATGCATAAGCTACCACGGAAAAAGTAGACGAACTGAATTCCATAAAAATGGAAAACTTTTATACTTCAAATGACACAAGAAAGTGGAAAGACAACCCATAGAATGAACGAAAATACTTGCAAACCATATCTCTGATAAGGAACTAGAATGTGTAAAAAACTCTTAACACTCAATTAATAAAAATGCTAGAACTAACCTAATTGAAAAATGGGCAAAGCATTTGACTAGGCAGATCTTTAAAGATAAACAAATGGCCAAAAATTATATGAAAAGGTGCGACCATCATTAGTTTTCAGAGAAACACAAATCAAAACCCCAATGAGCTATCACTTCACACCCACGAAGATGGCTACAATAAAAAAGACAACAATAAATGCTGGCAAGGATAAGGAGAAATTGGGAGTCCTTACATATTTCTGATGGGAATGTAACACAGTATAGAGCATTTACTAATATTCAGAATATTCTTGTTGTTGTTAAGTGCCTTCGAGTCGATTCCGACCCATAGTGACTCTGTATAGGGTTTCTGAGGAGCAGCTGGTGAGCTTGAACCACCGACCCTGCAGTTCAAACGGCTTTGCCGTCTGGTGCATTGACCCACAGCACCGCACCGGGACTCCAGAACATCCTTAGATAGAACTAACATAAAATGTATTGGTTAGTAGGATTACACATGGTTTGGTACTGGACTAAAGACCTGAGGTACTACCTTGGCCCAGTCATGTAACCCTAGAGTAAGTAGTTGATTCTATCTGAGTCTCGTTGTTGTTTAGGTGCCCTTGAGTGGGCCCTAACTCATCACAACCCTGTATAGGGTTTACGAAGCTGTAAATCTTTAGGAGAGCAGAAAGACTCACTTTTCTCTTACGGAGCAGCAGGTGGTTTCAACTACTGATCTTGTGTTTATCAGTCCAGTGCTTACCCTATCATCTATAATAGGGGAATAATACCTGCCTCAACTAACTCACAGGATTATTAACACTGGAATCTTCATTCTAAAGTTCTAGACAATATTTACTATTATCATTACTAAATCATTATTAATAATAAAGGAAGATATGAGAAAGGACTATACTGCTTATATTATTTCATTTTGGATCATTCATACCTGTGTTCCCCTCCACTGGACAAAATTTAAAGAGATGTCAGAGAAAACAACAAAAAGGAAATTAGAGTGATCAGTGTATATTCAGACATGTGCTTGCTTACTTAAAACAGCACAGCTAACCAGCAGCAGAACTTGCATCTGAGAGCAGATTGCATAATATCAACTTCAAAACTTCAACAAACTGGACTTCCGGCAAGATGGCAGACTACACAGACTCTCTACAACAAAGATTTAAGAGACCAAATAAAATAGACACAGAAAAAATTCTGACACCCTGAACTTCAGAAGAAAGAATAGCGAGGGGGATGGAATGCTTGATGAGAGGAGAGCCCAAGCAGGGATGGTGAGAGAGGGAAACTGACTGGTGAATGGCTGGCCAAAGGCGGCTCCACTATCTTGTGAGCAGCTTTGGCAGCGGAGGCAGGCCAGGCAGAGCAGATTCACACATGTGCCAGGAAAGGCGCAATTTCTTCTTCTTTCCCATGCTCCCTTAGTGACCACAGGTTTGGCCTGCTCCCATCCTTATCAACTCCCAGTGCAGACCCTGCTCTCCAGGAGTTTGGAGCCAGCTGCACCACTTTGGTGGGTAGATTTGGTACCTGGATCCAGGTGGACTCAGCTTCAGACCTACAAAACCTGCAGAACCACCAGACCAAAATTTAACCAGTCTCCCTGACCCCAGTTTCCCTGTGGTCCTAACAGACACTGAAACCAGCTCCATCAAAAGACCCATGAACTACTTCCAGATTGAGTGCCCTGAACATAAATAACACCAAGGCCAACAGGAACTCCATCCCTAGATGGAACTCTATTGCCACATCCCTTCCAAAACCACCTCACAAGCTCCTTTTATTGCAAAAGCCCACCAGAGATACTTCCCCTTCAGGTCTAACAACTGCATGGTTTGTTTTTTACAAATATGATAAGCCTCACAGTGCTTCAGAAACAACAGACAACTTTAGCTCACACAAAGAAACAAAAGAGAATGGCTCAAACAAATGACCAAGATGCAGAGCCAGAAAACATTTCTGAGAAGAAAAGGTCATAGAATTAACTGAAAAAGAATTCTTCAACAAATTGGCAGAAAGATTGAGGAAAGCAAGGAGAACACAGAAAAAACTTTAGAAGAATTCAGAAAAATGCTACAAGAAGAAAGCAACTTTATAAAAAATGCTAAAGAGTGTTCTTTGAACTAAGAACCAACAAAAGCAGACAACAACCTAAGATTACCATACATGACAACACACCCAGAACTGAACCCAGATATAGAAGTATATAAAATAAAACAAACATCAAAGTAAAATGAAGTCAGCTACAAAGCAAAGAGGGAATTGCGTAGCTCTAGAACTTTCAAATGGCAAGGAAGTCAAGTAGAATTCAAGATAAAACAAGACTTGTTTTAAGCAGGGAAACAAATACATTACAGTGTAACCTCAAAGAAAAACCTGCACATCAAAATAAAAATGGGAACTCAGAAAGATTTCACAAACATTAATACAACAGAAATGAAAATGAAAAGAAAACCCACAATGGGGAGCCATCAAGGCAAACCATCAAGTTCCTTCAGGACAAACCCCCTGCAAGAGTGAAACTCAAAGGAACACAGGAGAAAGTATGTAAGCTTGCTGGTGACCACGTTGGTCTCCTGGTGAGTGGAAGAGAGGGAAAGGCAGCAATGAAGATATGGGCCAAGTTTGACCACGTTCCATAGAGTCTGGTGGACCTGGAGATGAGAGAGAGAAGAGGGGTTGGCTGGTCCAAAGTGTGGTGAGACCTATGGACTCCTGAGCCCATGGACAAGGACATAGCCACAGAGGGCTGGAGCTGAGAGCAAATCACCCAGCTGTTGTGAAGTGAGGGGAGACACAAAAGAACACCCAAATTTGTAGATAGTACTCATTCAACCTAGCCTCAATGGTTTGATGATCAGAAATCGACTAGAGAAAGATTAATAAATAATTTTTGATAAAGGATACAAGTGTAAATTGCTACAATTTGATGAACTTGACCTATACTTATGGATGTAGTAGCTCAAGATACCAACAGAGAGGGAAGGAGTCTTCACATCAAGTATCAATCCTATCCTCTCTGTATACAGGGTAGATAGGGACGGGCAGCTTAGACACAGGATACTTAAAATGAGGGGGTGATAAAGACATGAGGTGACTGGCTTATAAGTTTTCAAGAGGGAGTTTAGTTTCAGTATGTAGGGGAAGGGAGAGTCCCCGCTGAATAGTTTTCATCTTGTCCATATTGGTCTGGTGAAAGGAAATGGGGATAAGATTCTTATGATTCAATAGTGAGTAATTGTTATCATGACTAATTGTGACTGTCACAACTGTAATGGTAGAAGTTTTGTAATAAAAAGAGGAGAGTAGTTAATCTTGCAGTCAGGTCAGGAACAGAGAGCCCTAGGACCATCGAGGGAGAGGAGCACGAGCAGAATGTGGGACCCTCTCCAGAGAGGCAGTGACACCAGAGATGAGAACATGGAGAGAGGGAGCAGCTGAGGACTCTAGACTCATGGAAAGAGAAAGACTGTGTGTTGGTGGCCAGGGGGCAGGCTTGCAGAATGTGTCCTTTGGTTGTTTCAATGATTATATATTCCTGAGTTATTTTGTTTACATGCCTCCCCCCCCAAAAAAAAAACCCACCACCACCAACAACAGAGGGAAGACAAACAAACACTATTGAGTGGTGGTGCATGGGGGAGATTGTACTCACTGCAATGAAACAATGAGTGTAAAGCAGATGTTCCCCATGTAGACTAATCACTCAATTCACAATAATAACTAAAAAAAAGTGGGAAAAAAAGAAAACCCACAAACAAAACGAACTCAGCATAGAAAATTGTATGCAACCAAGACTCCAGCAGCACCACCCAGAACAAAATACATTGAAAAATGACAGCAATCAATTCATACCTGTTGTTAATTACACTGAGTGTAAATGAATTAAAAGATTAAATGATTCAAGAGACACAAAGAGCAGAATGGGACGCTCTCTATAAGAGACATATCTAAAACTGGTGACAACCTATAGGCCATTATGATGAGTGAAAGTAGTCAATGACAAAAAGGCAAATATTGCATGAGACCAATGTTGGAAAAAGTTAAAAAAAAAAAAAAAGTATTCTTGATAAAATAAACAAATCTATGATGGTTACTTGGTTGAGGGGGAGGGAAAATTATTCATGGGCTAGAGGGTTGACACATGTTTACATGGGTGACAGGCAGGCAATATGCAGCAAGGAGGTTAGCCGAGGAAAGATGAAGGTAGCTGGAGACACAGGGAGGAATACAATAGATACAGTAAGTCGAGGTAAATACTATAAACTGTTGGTACATGGAGGGGATTACAACCATGTGATGAAGTAAAGTATATGATGTGCTGAATGTAAAACTGATGATCTGCTCTGAAAACCTTCACTTAATTCACAATAAAAAGTTGGGGGGAAAAAAGTGAAAGCTTGTAGAATATGAAGTTTACCAAGAATGTGCCATAGCTATCTTTATATCCTAAATACATATGTTTTTATTCAACAAATCATATTCCTGGAATCTAAGGAAATAAACATCAAAACAAACAAAAAAGTATTTTCAACCAACCTATGGCATTCATGTGACAATGCCAGATGCTGGAGACACAAAGATAAATGAAACGCAATGCTTTATCTCATATATGTGTATATATATGTATACTGCCAACTGGCATAGTTCAAAGACAGTCTACATAATATTGAAATGATGGACTGCTTCAGTCTATAATGACTCTACAACACACTTATCATAAAAGAAGACCACTGCAATGTATCACATGCTAATGAACTAAAAAAGTTAAACCTGCTTTCACTCTAAATTGGATAAAACATAAAATTAAAGTCACAATAAGAAACAGAAATTATTTAAAAATATTTTTCCAACAGATAAAACCAGGCAGGAGTTTATTTCTAATTATCATACAAAACACTAAAATACAAAAAATTTAAAACTCACTTTTGTCCCAGGGGGCAATCCTTCTAGTTCTCTAGGCTTTAAAAATGTACGATGCTGTATCTTGTGGTCAGTTTTCTCCTTGCATGTCAAAAATTGGAGTCTGCATTTTGCGCAACGATGTATTCCTTTTTTCTGTTTATAGGGGGGAAAAATTTTATCAAACCAACCATGGCACTGGAAATTGCTCTTAATTCTAGTATTTCAATATTTCAAAAAACTAGTTCTTTACATCTCCAACCATAAATAGTAACAAAATACAATTTCATTTTTAAGAATCTCTCCTTGCATTCATATTTGGGTTCCAAAAGTATTTGTTAGCATATAGGTACCCAACATGAAAATGCTATCAATTGGGTTCTTATGAAAAAAGTACTGTATGAGTCACAGTGTGAGAGCTGTTAATTTTAAATTTGAACAATCAGCTATTCAAACATAAGATACTGAGAAATGAACTATGTTTTTATTTCATTCATTGTAATTCATTTCAGTGGTCACACGTGGCTATGATACATTAGACAGTGTGGTTATAGAGACATACATTAGGGCAACTGATCCTACTTGAGGACCTTTTGACTGAGCTTCTACCTAAGCAGTCTTGTTTTTATTTCACGGATGGGAAACATGATCCAAGATACACCTAAGTTACTTGCCCATAGCTGGTTAATGACTAGTCCAATGTTCTTTCTACCATATACCATCAATTGTAATCTTTATATGTTCATGCTCTCAAATAATGAGTATAAGTATAGTCACGGCTGAATTTTCTCTACCTATACCTTACTCTGTTTCATGGCTTTAAATAGCATCCAACCAACTGCCTATTCAGCACTGCTACTTGATAGCCATCTGATCAACTTGGACAAAATTAAATTCTAGGTCCTCTCCACCCACTTGACCTTAGAAGTATCTTCTTATAGCTACACCAAGGAAAAAAGAAAACAAAAAAACCCTGCTCACTCTTTCACACCTCACATCAAACCCATTAATAAAACCTGTCAAGCATTACCTTAAAAAAAATAATCTTTTCACTTTTCCTTCACCTCCAGTCACTGCTACCATACTGATGCAAGCAACTCACCTGGACTACTGTAATAACTTCCCATCGTCTCCCTGTTTCACCCTTTTCCCTTCTGGTTTGTTCTCCCAGTTATTGCTGGAGTGATCTTAAAAAAGGGCAGATTGTTCACATGCTGAATGCCTCCAAAGGCTTTCTGCATCTGTCCAAAGTGCTGACTATGGATTGATTATAAGGCCCTACGGAGTCCTGGTATGGCGCTGTGGGCTAATGCGTCAGACTGCAAAGTCACTTGAACTGCAAGGTTGGTGCTTCAAGCTCACCAGGTGCTCCTTGGAAAATCCTACACAGGGTTGCTATGGGTCGGAATCGACTCGACGGCACTTCACAACAACAAGACCACCAAGTCTAGCCTGCATTCTATTGCTACAACCTCATCTCTTACTATTCTAGTCTTCCTCTCACTTGTTTACTTGGCTCCAGTCACACCGGCTTCCTTGCTGTTTATTAACATCCTAGGTATACACTGCTTTCTCATAGTTCCCTCTGTCTGGAACATTCTTTCCTAGCTGTCTATATGGCTTATTCACTATTTCCTTCTGACATTTACTCTTTGATCACCTCATATTAAACAGCAACCACACTTCTTCACCTCCTAACCTTTCGTACTCCCTTCTCTAACTGTACTTTCCTTCCACAGGATTTGTCACCAGCTGGCATACGTATACAGCCCAACACACACACACACACAAATTATCTTCCTTAACTATAATGCAAATTCCAGGGCATTAACCTCTGTATCACCAATACCTAAAACAGCCCCTGGCACATGTTGGTTGTTGTTATTAAGTGCCGTCTAGTTGGCTGACCCATAGCAACCCTGAACAGGGTATCCGAGGCTGTAAATCTTTACGGGAGCAGAAAGCCTCATCTTTCTCCCACGGAGTAGCTGGTAGTTTCGAACTGCTGACCTTGCAGTTCGCAGCCCGATTTGTAACCACTATGCTACCAGAGCTCCCTGGCACATGTTAGGCACTCAGTAAATACTCAGTAAGTGACTAGTGACACAGACAGCAAACATGCACGAGCAGCAGGCATAATTCAACACACTTTACAGTGTCTGCCACTCCACTCAAAGAACATTTGCCTAGAGTCTTGAATTGGGAGACATTTAAGCTACTATGCCTGGAGTTGGATTCAAATTTTGTACATCGATATGCTAATAAGGGTGATGCTGGTATATGGTTTGTAACAGGATGTTCAACTCAAGAAACTGATCTGCTCTAAGAGCAGAGGGAAAAAAATCATCTGTGTTTAACTGTTCATAAGAAATCTTGGTAGTGCAGTCAAGAGCTCGACTAGTAACCAAAAGGTTGGTGGTCTGAACTCACCAGATGCTCAGTGGGAGAAAGATGTGGCTGTCTAATTCCATAAAGATTATAGCCTTGTAAACCCTGTTGGAAAGTTCTACTCAAGAGATGGTGGAACCAACTCCACTACAGGTTTTTTGGGGGAATTGAACATTTTGACAAGCATATTATACTGTTTGTGTGATTTGAGGGATTTGCAAGTGTAATCCTGTCATTTCTGTCTTTAGAGCTTCTATGAGTGTGAAATATACCTCTGTAACAGCTTGGCCTCTGAAGTCAATTTTTTGGCTGTACCATATATTGGCAAGTTTCTCACTCTCTTTAAAGCTTTGTTTTGCTCTTCTATAAAATTGTTGTTCATAATAATACACCTGCTTTTTAGGGTAGTATAAAGGACTAATAAAAAAGAAAATATGAGGGAACTTCAAAGTTTGTGGAAAAATGGAATTAAAAAATAATGCAAATTAAAGCTTATGAAGTGTATTCTATTTGCAAAGTGAAGTACAAGTATAGTTAGAAAGATTTCTGATAAAATAAACATTTTATATTTAATATTTATACACACACAAATGGAATTTCCCCACAAACTTAATGAAGCACCCCCATACAAGTAAATCACACCTGGTTAACTGACATAGTATTACTGAAGATCTAATGACACATCTGGAATATTTTATCCTTTCTTAAAAGTCATACAAATTGGATTGTCAGCTCTGAAATCACTGAACAAAAAAGCACTGAGTTACAACCAAAGTCTTCACAAAAAGAATGAAATGAGCCATCAAGGCAAACCACACCACAATCATTGTTGCTGAATCATCCAGATTCATAGGGATCTTATATAGGACAGAGTAGAACTCACACCTAGGGTTTCTAAGGTGATGAAGCTTTATGGAAGTAGACTGCCACATCTTTCTCTCGTGGAGTGACTGGTGGGCTTGAACCGCCAACCTTTAGGTTAGTACCTAAGCTACTGGCATACCAGGGGCTCCAAAATGAACCATAGAACCCCCAATTCTTACTGTGTGATGCTGCACTAGAAACGTCATCTGAACTGCAAGTCAGCTATGGTTTTCAAGTGTTTTGTAAATAGTGACAAATATTAAAAAGGTCATAAAGAATGCCTGGTGATATCTCTTATGAATCGATTCTTTTCTCTTTCCCGATGGTTGCTTGCCTCTCTTTGCTGTCGTATGAAAGCACCACTGCCCCACTGGCTCCCAGGCTGTAGTCTTTACGGGAGCAGATTGTCAGGTCTTTTCACCCGTGGAGCTGATGGTGGATTCCAACCACCGACCTTTTGGGTAACCTCTGAGTGTTTAACCATTGGGCTTCCTTCCAGGGCTCCTTTAAAGCCTACTTCCTAAGCCCCACTGACAGCAAGACCATTCCGACTGAATAGGATTTCCACAGTTGTAAGTCTTTATGGGAGCTAAAAGCCTCCTCTTTCTCCCATGGAACAGGCTCATGGATTTGAATCACCCAAATTTACAAAAAACACAATGAAAAAGCAAAACCCATAAATAATAAATTAAAGGGGGAGGGAGGGCACTCCACAGTGTATCCAGGTGTCCTGATTTGCTAGAAGGTCTGAAAGGGCTCAGACACTGTGACACTAACAGCTATGACTCACAATGGCATAAAGAAAAGATCCAGAGCAGGATCTGGTCAGCAGTTAACTGTTAACTCTTTTCAGTGAATAACATGGAAGTGTTTGCAGAACAAATTCACAGGAGTTAGCCATGGGCCAATTATGCAAGCTGCCTTCTCTAAAAATGAGCCGAGTTTCAGCAACTCCGAGCTGCAGGGCTCACTCCTTCCTACACACAAGGCAAGTTAAGAGGCATAACTCAGTGTTATACAGCCCATGGAGTGGTCCACCCACCTCTTACCTTTCTAAGCATACATCATTATCCTCACATCTACATTTCACTCTGGAGCTTAGTAAACCATAGGGAAAAGAAAAGTCTCATAATGAAAGTTAGAGCTACTGCTTGATCTCATTCTTCCTTTCAAAAATCCAAGGCCAAAAGATATAGCGCATTAAGAACAGTGGTACCCTAACTCTGTTCAAGAAATGTTAATAGGTATTGTGTAAACAAAGAGTTCAGTGGTCCAATAAGTTTGGGGGACAAGACATACTATATCAATTGCTTAGAGATTTAAAATGTACATTATCACATATTAAAAACTCTGAGAAGTCTTATTTTAAAAAAACAATTGAATGTCATAAATCCAGTCACTTGCCCAATTTATTCTACCAGGAACATTTTTGAAGGGAACACCTGTTAACATCTGATGGAACACTATTGGGAAAATACTAGACTAGAAGGATGAGGAAATTCTGCTTTTAGGGTTTTGGGTTCCAATGAACAACCATGAGTGGATTTTATGATTATTCAGAGTATAACTGAAAGCAAAGTTTGTGACAATGCTGAATAAACTGGCCATAACAATGAAACCAAGGACAAGAAAATGTAAAGAGCTGATCAGCAAGGAGGCAAAATTTGATTACATTATTCACTGACTTCGGATTTAGACCAAGACAATGTTACTTTTTCAAACATTCAAGAAGCGATTTAGTGTTTCATCAATGCTTGAAAGCATTGAGCTGAAGCTCAAACAAAGGAAGGCCTAATTGTTTCAGTAAAGCACAAAAATTTGAATTGAAGGGCGAGGTACAAGCACTAATACTGGTATCCCAGAAATCACACAGTATAACCAGCAAAAGTCATCCTGGAAACAATGAATTCAGTATAGCTTACTGGCATAGTTCATGTACCTAGTAATAAGCATCACTGCTGCTTTGTCACTGGCTATTTTAATAGATCAATCTGGGTCACCAATGACAACCATGTGGTTTTTCCTAAGAAAAAGGAAGCTAGAAAATAGAAATACACTTTGAAAAGAAGCTTTCTCTTTCAATTCTATTTTCCTCAGTTTTATTTTGAGAACTATTTTCAAAATCATTCATATTCCTACCAACCTGATTAGAGATTCAACTGATCTTCACCTTTCCTCTCCACTCTATGGTTCCCATTTATTTCCACACATTTTTCAAAACGTTCACTATTTATGAGCCCCATAATCACCAGAAAGTAGACAAGGGAAAGATGTTTCACAAGTAATTCAGTGTGCATTTTAAATTAATCATGCCATTCAGAACTACTCTGCTGTCTTTTGAGCCAATCTTCTAAGTTACAGTCAGTCTTTTCACTACGATAGTATGAACTAAGAACTCGTAAAGCTCACCTGATGCTTCATGTAATGATTCATGAAGGGTGTTGCCATTCTACTCACTTTGAGGCAAAATGGACACAGCAAGTTCTTAGTGTTTTCATGGAATGTTCTAAAGTGAGTGTCTACTTCAGAAAAGCAAGACGACCTATACTGGCAAACCTAGAAATACAAAGAAGGCTTAGTTCAAATTCAAACTTTAACTGATAGGCAAATGCATCAAAGTAAGCCATGATGAGTCATTTATTTAGAAGAATGTTATATACTACAAATTCAACTCTGCTGCCTAGTCAAACAAGAACCCCATCATTGCAAAAATAAAGGTTAAGTTTTTGAGACAAAATGTTATTTTCCAATGCTTAAGGGTACATTCCTTTCTTCTTTTCAGCTCTACAACTCCCTATCAACACTTGAATTTTTAAGTTCTGACATCCCGTGTCTACAGGACAATTCTATAGGTGTTTTTTCATGCTATATGAAACTGTATCTACTTCTCTGCTTTTAAAATGGCATCCAGGTTATGCCAGTAGAAATTTATCTTTATCTTCCTTTCCTATTACTGGGAGTCATTTCAAATTTTGGACAAATACCAGTCCCAAAGCATCTAGATGGGTTTCTGTAAGTTTTTCTATTTCCTTGGCGTGCCTATATTCTTTCTTACATGGTCAAATAAGTCCGTATATTCGTCTTTCCCCAGCACGACTTTTCTTTTTCGAGTACAGGGGTCAGCAAATGATGGTCTGCAGGTCAAGTCCAGCCCACCCCCCCACCTACAAATGTATGAGTTAAAACCCGGGGAGTTTCCACTAATGAATTATTTACAAGAGGGTCATCCATTTTAGTAACCAATTTTATTTAAATGATTTAAAACAAAGTCACCAAGAATATTATTGCATGTTTCAGGAAAATTAAATACGCACAATAAAATGGATGTGTACCTGGCAAATATATGGCATTTCCCCAGGCTTATGAGTGTCCTTCATATGTTGTAAAAGAGTATGTTCTGATTCAAATGACAATTCACAGATTTTGCAAATAGCTGGGAGTAGATAAAAAGACATTATGCCACTTCAAGGATGCATACACATAAAAAATTACTTTGAATATTCATAACAGCAATAATAATAGTAATGGTTGCCACAGTAGTGATGGTGGTTCTAACAATTCTATAGTAGTCAACTAACTCTGTTGCACTGTTCCAAACACTTTCTTAATACTAAGTTAATGCTCCTAATATCACTAAGAAAGGTATTACTATTATGACTTTTTAGATGAGGAACTTGAGTATAAAAAGATTAAGTAATTTGCCTGCAATCTCAAAATGCCTAGCAACAGAGTCTGGTTTTAAATATCATTCATTATTTTTCTCATTAAAAGTTTAAACCAAGGCCACTGATTTCATGTTTGAAAACCAAAGAATCTCAGTTTCCTAATTTAGTCCCTTATATACAATACAATCCAAGAGAGACTTCAATTTTAGTAACTCATTTTCTTTAAAAGTTTATATAAAGAATGTGTTTTTTGAGTTTGCTCTCATATTACGAAGTCTATTTCTTATTCTTTTTTTTCTTCTCAGAAGCCATAAGGTTTCCTACAGTTTTTACATCATTCAAATCAACACTATCCTGCGTTTAAGTGACGTGGAAACTTACTAGAAAATTCATGGGGGGTGTGTGTGCTTTCGATGTGGCACTGCAGCTGGAATGGTGTGGGGTACTGGCGGTAGCAGTGCTGGCAGGTGGTATGGTTTTCCCAGCTCTCACTGTTCTGCTTTTCAAATTCCAAATGGTGTTTCATGTGGTTCATAAACCTGTACATGATGGTAGCAGGCACAAACATTCAGATTAGGAAATCATATAAACAACTTTCAAACAACGACCTGAACCTAAATTTAAAAAAATGCAGTTCCATTAGTGAAAATAAAATCACATTATGAAGTGGCTCAGTAAACACTTTGCATTTAATCTTTCTTCGAAAAGAATCCACTCATGTTGTCAATATGAAGTTGCTATAATTCTTAATAACTATTTCATGTTAAAAACCACTTATTTTTGGTAAAAAAAAAAAAAAAAGCAAACTTCTCTTCCATACATGAAGTATCATCTACATTTTAAAATAAAGTGTTTAAATGAGGTAAACCCTACCACCAAATGCAGCTAGAAATTAGAAATCTTTTGAAGGCCCTGAGTTATATAATAGGTTCCTGTGACTTAAAAAGAAAAATGATATACATTTTTACTTATATCTTGGTTTCAACATACACGCAACAGCAAGTTTAGTGCCTATAACTACAAAAACCTTTTGTGTTATTTAATAATACAATCCATTTTTCAGTTTCACAGTCGGCTTCCTTAAAAGGGGTCTTACAAGTACAAAGCCTATGACCTTCCATGATTTGTTGTTGTTAAGTGCTATTGAGTCAATTCCAATTCCTAGAGACCTTATATAGAGCTTTCAAGGAGTGGCAGGTGGGTTTGAACTGCCAACCTTGCACTCAGCAGTCCCACCAGGACTCCTTCAATAGTGCAGAGGGCAATATAAAAGGCATACCTATTTCAAAGAGTTTACTAAAGCTTTTTGCTGAATTTGAAGTAAAGTTATTCAACCACAATGATAATTTTAGATTGTGTCAATTATTAACTATTATTCACTTCAAGTCCGCGAGAGAAATAATCTTGAAACGAATTTATAATGCCACCAATTTAGACATTATCGCAAACCTTTATTTCCTATCTTAAAAAAAAAAAAGTTTTTCTCTTTAGAGTTGGTTATGGTACACATTGAAATTATCTTTTTTTTTCCCCCTTTGGTTTTAATTCCAGTTCTACTATGTTGTTGTTAAGCGCTGTTGAGTCAGTTCCAACTCATAGGGACACTGGGCAGAGTCTCCAAGGAGCGGCTGGTAGGTTTGAACTGCTGGCTTTGTGGTTTGCAAAGTCCAGTGCTGATCCTACAGTGCCAAACCTGGAGTATTTTTAGTCTTGGCTAAATATTTACATAAAGACATTTTTAAAGATCGCAAGCCGTTAGTCTTCCAGCTCCTCCTAATTTTAAGTACTTAAAATTTTATCAACCCATGTGAAATATCTTAACCAATTAGCCATCTCTCAATTACTATACCGGCTCCCATCAGCAACTCATACTTCTCAAACCAGTAAATGAAGATGGAAAAACAAGACAAAAACAGACATCTTGCAAGGCTGGTCTCAGAATGAAGTAACTCTAACTGGGTTTGGTGACATTTGATATAGAAAAAAACCTTATAATCATTTAACTCAAACATTGAAAAGCTGTTGTTAAGCGCTGTCAAGTAGGTTCCAACTCATAGTGACCCTGTATAGGGTTTCCAAGGAGCGGCTGGTGGATTTGAACCCTCAACCTTGCAGTTAGCAGTCCAGTGCTAATTTTAGACAGCACCACACCAGGATTCCATTTCTAAACATGTTTAAAAAAATTCATGTTTGTAAAACAAAGTTTGAAAAGCAGAAGTCACTAAAATTTTAAATGTGGTGGTGATTATGTGCATGGAGCCTAAATCTTTATGGAAGCAGAAAGCCTCACCTTTCTCCTGCAGAGAAATGCAGGATTTGAACTTGTGACCTTGCGGTTAGCAGCCCAACTCATAACCCATTACGCTACCAGAGAAATCTTCAAGATTCAATTGGGAGTTAAATTTCTATTTTTTTAAATGTGTTAAATTTTAAAATCAAAGCAGATTATGTTTCATGAAACTGGTCATTTTCTAAAGAAGACCATCAAAAATGATCCCTTTCTCTGCAATGTAAATGTACTGGAAATTATAAATATCAATTTAAAATGTCAGCATTAAATAAGACTAGTATGGAAGAAGTCAAAATAGATGAAGCAGGTCTTGTGATATGAAGAAAAGATTCAAAAGTAGCTAGAAAATAAAAATAGTGCATAAAAACTTTTAGTTTAATGATAATATAGGGTAAAAAGAAGCTGTTTTCTCTTCAGATAAGATTTGTTTTTTCTTGGGTTATCTGAAAGATACAACTATGTGAATTCAGGACACGGATTCCTACAACATAAGACAAGACAAAAGCTTTTCATTAAGACAATCTGCCTCTGTTCTTAGTAGCAAGTGTTCAAACTGCTTATGGAGGATGACAAAGAAAACTGCAAGCTACATTTGTAACTGGCGCATTCCAATTTTAACCCCGAAATGAAAAGTACTGACATACCGAATATTATTTTTAAGAACTTTCAGGCAACTGAAGCACTTAAAGGTTGTGTAAGTCTTCTCTTGGTCCATTCTTCCTCCATGTCTCCCATAATAGAAATCACTCACCAACATGATCAGTTTTCCTTTCTCTGAATCAGTCTTATTTTTGTTTTCGACATTTGAAAGCTCAGCTTTATTATTTTCCGAAACGTTATTTATTATGTCTGGACAACAATACTAAAAGAGAAAAACATAAGCCTTATTCAATGAATAAACACCTGTTATTTTAATTAACAACAAAATAATCCCACAAACAAATTATAAAAACTTAAGATCAGGACTTGTCTGTTAGTTGTGATATTGGAAGCTATGCTATTGATATTTGAAATACCAGCAGGGTGGCCCATGGTGGACAGGTTTCAGCTGAGCTTCCAAACTAAGACCAGGAAGGAGAGGCGGACTAGTCACTTCAGAATGTTTAACCACTGAAAACCTTATGAGTAGCAGTGGTACACTGCATATACCACCCAAATATTGCAATGATTGTGAGGTTGGCACGGGACCAGGCAGTGTTTCATTCTGTTATGCATAAAGTCACTATGAGTCGGAACCAACACGACGGCACCTAACAACAACAGCAACAATAAGATCCAGACTGGCTACAGATCCAATACCTTTCTCCTTGCAATTTACCTTTGAGATGTCAATGTTTAATAATAACTTGTTCCTTGGACAAAAGCCATTCATTTCATACCTGTGTCAAGATAGAGCTTAAAAGGAAAGGTAGTTTTTTATGGCATAAGGAGCTCTGGTAGCTTAGCGGTCATGAGTCGGGCTGCTACCCTCAAGATCAGCAGTTTGAAACTACCACCTATTCAGCAGGAGAAAGGGGAGGTTTCCTGCTCCTGTAAAGATTTACAGCCTCGGAAACCCTACACAGGGTTGCTATGAATTGGAACCAACTCCACGGCACACAACCACCACCAACAACCATGTATATTTTAAATGATCAAATAACACAGTTGTTGTTTGTTTGTTGTTATGTGCCATCGAGTCGGTTCCGACCCATAGCGACCAGTAGTATCTCATTAAAGCCTGGTTGAGACTGGATCTTGATTACAACTATCCTGCCATTCCCCTGATTTGAGGTACTAGAAAATGCAGGATACAGAGATGCGTTACGGAGATTTTATAAACTGTAACACATTCAACAAGAGTCTCTATTGGAAGGGGAAATTTACCATTTACCTCATAGTAAAAGAAGACCTTTTATAAACTGATCTTAATGTTGAATATTTCCAAACATGAGGCTTTTTTTCTCAACGAGACAAGACTAACTAATCCATTTACTATGTTGTTGTTGTTATGTGCCGTGGAGTCGGTTCTGACTCATAGTGACCCTGTACAGGGTTTCTGACGCTGTAAATCTTTACGGGAGCAGAAAGCCTCATCTTTCTCCCATGGAACAGCTGGTAGTTTCGAACTGCTGACCCTGAGGTTCACAGCCCGATTCATAACCACTACGCTTTGTAGGATTTCTTTAGAAGAATTCCCTATAAGGATAACCAGAAAAAGAGAACAAACTTTCTCAAAACTCAAAACTGGATACACAAAAAGCAACCACACAGTGAAAGACTTAATGAAAAAAGAAAGCATAATGGAAAGCTGTGATAGAACCAAGATTAATTAAATCTATCAGTTAAACGAATACAAATGGGGGTTAACTCAGTTACTAAGATTCTCACATGGAATTACAAAAGAAAAAGTAACTGTTGGAAGCTTAAAAAACATACCCAAACCAAGGGTTGAAATAAAAGGATAAACAAAGAAAATAATAGGTAAATGGAAATAATAAAAAGCAAGGGTTCCCAAGTCTCTGGCTCTAGAGCCCCTTCAGGCCTGGAAGTGTACTTACCCCATGGCTTGTACGCTTCTCTTTTTCTCCTTATATACCCTACACTGCCTTTTGTTTGTCTCCTTTCTCCCTTCCTGCCATTTATACTAGCCATGCAAAAAAAAATCCACACTACTTTCATACAAAACACAACAGGACACCAGAATACCTACTAAAACATTTGGAATGTTGCATAAACGCCACACCTCATCGGTGCTTTGCAAAGTACCTATACCTAATTTTGAGAGCTTCCTAAACCATGTTAAAATGAGAATTAATTCATAAACTGTTAATTGCCATAGAATTGGTTCTGACTCACAGAGACGCTATACAGGATTTCTTAGGAGCAGCTGGTGGGTTTTAACTGCCAACCCTGTGGTTAGCAGTCCAGTGCTTATCCTACAGCGCCATACCAGGATTCCGATAAACAACTATAAAAGCTATATTCTACTAGTTCATGTCTGAGCATTGGAAATTAAAATGTAAAACTAAAATTTTTCATTGAGTCACCTGACATGCATAGGTTACCAAGGTTACCACTGGGCAGGGGGAATCAAACAAGATATGTGAAACATTAACAATCTAATAAAATGCCAGTTTTATAGGAAGTTTAAAAAATGACATGAGCTTGTGTGCATGAACTTAATTTAAAAAATTTAATGGTTGACAATTAGGAGGGAATTTAAAAATGTTTTATAAAGATAATTACTATGAATATAAAGTTTATTTGCACTATAGGGAAACATCAGTACGTAAAGATTTCTTATCTAAATATCCAAATAAACCAATGATCACTGTATACCAATCCTTACTATAACATGAAATTTTATAAACGTTTACCTTCATGTGATATTTCAGAGGATCCAAAAGATTAAATTTAGCATTGCAATTTGGACAAGCTCTTTGAAAAGGTGTTCCAATTTTATTTTGACTTGCTGAGGTATTTGTACCTGAAATAAATTAAAGGACTTTTATAGCTCAAATTCATCTTTTTAAAACCCTGAAGAACCACTAAAAGTAGTTTTAAAATGCACCATGACTTCTAAAATACATTTCATTTTTTTATGTTAGATTTCATTTACCTTGTGATGGCATAACATGGGAAGGTGTCACTGAAGTTGAGGTATGCATGTCAGAAATACTTTCCTTGATCTTTGGCTTTTTTGGAGTAACAGGGTTCACTTCAGAACTAGAAGGACGTTTTAATAATAGTGAACTTTTAGGCGTATCTACAATGATTTAAGTAGTGAAAAAGATATTGGTAAATACTTTACTATAAAATACAGCTTACAATTGCTACTAAAATGACCTATGTTAAAACTACGTAAAAATACTTTGGAGCTGAAATACAAGTAACATAATTTAATTCTCTTATCAAACAACCAACAATATAGAATGACCAAAACTTATTTAGTAAAGGGGTAGAAAGGAATTGCACAAACAACTATTATGGACTACATATATTTAAATAATTCATGTAATACTATTTTGATGCAAAGAATTCTAAATATGTTTCAAATAAAGAAATGCATAAATAGCGGGCATGAAGTCGGACAAAAATTGGAGAAAATACTCTAAGTGTAGACAAATTTATGTTTACAAAGCATGACTGCATTTGTTACTAAAGGAAAACAAAAAGCAAATGTCTTCATTCTACAAATTTATAGACCCTTTAAAGATGTTTTTAACAATTTAAGATTCTAATTAAAGACTTCAAGGCAGTCTTTTCTCAACCTAAGAAACTGACAAACGGTATACTCATGTCTTTAGATGAAATAATTTGCTTCCTATGTAAAAAGTGGAATGACTAATCTTGAATACTACCTCGCTCGTTCAAAGGAGCTCTGGTAGCGTAGTGGTTATGAATAGGGTTGCGAACCTTAAGGTCAGCAGTTTGAAACTACCAGCTGTTCCGCAGGAAAAAGATGAGGCTTTCTGCTCCAGTAAAGATTTACAGCCTCGGAAACCCTGTACAGGGTCGCTATGGGTCGGAACCAACTCGATGGCACCTAACAACAAGTGTGGCACTGTAAATACCGGACTGCTAACTACAGGGTTGGCAGTTCAAACCCATTAGCCACTCCTAGGAAAGTCTATACAGGGTTGCTATGAGTTGGAACCGACTCCGTGGCACTTACATTATCATTACTAGGTCCCTAGGTGGTTCAAATGGTTTGTTGTTGTTGTTGTTGTCAGGTGCCATCGAGTTGGAACCGACTCATAGCGACCCCATGCACAGCAGAACGAAACAATGTTCG